AACATTGAAGTACAATTTTTTTAAGAATTCTTTTTATAAGAAACTATGAACTTTGTATTAAAATAGCATTTGCTTTTGTATTTCTTACATGCATGTAGTGTTTTATTTGATCTTTTTAAAGTAACAGGATTTTTCATTTCAGTTTATTTTAGGAAATGGTGAAAATATGTCGGACTTCACCAAATGCTGAGAATGTTACTCATTCTCATATATGTGCAGCCGAAGCTCTATATTCACGAATGGTTTTTGTGGCTGGAAAGGTAGGTATATTTTGGACATTACTGGATGTTTATTTATTTATTTTTCTAAGCTCAGTGCATAATAAAAATTTCTTCTTTCAATTAACATGTAGGCTTTTTTCATCACTAATCTCAAGCCTATGAAGTTCTGGGAATTTGTATCTCTAATATTGGAAGGCTTGGGATATCAAAGGTAAGTTGCATTGTGATTTCGTTATGTTAGAATTTCCATGGAAGCACTAGTTGACGTTAACTAAAATGTTGCTTTTACAATATCATTATAGTGGAACATTGCATTCTGGGAAAAATTAAACTTGGTTCTTGTTTCTTTCTTGCTTGATTTGATGCATACCCATATGTGGATGATTAGAACAAACATCAACCTTATTTTTAACTATTCATCTATTTGATAAATGAAACAAGGATGCTAGACAACTTGAAACGGGTAAACATATGATTATGATGTTATTTTCATTGTGGTATTGTTTATATTCTCTTGTGCTTTTCTTGCGCTGCTGTATTATTAGGGGCATGGACTAATTCTGTATTTCTTGTTCTATAGCTACTATCTTGGATTTTCTAATACAAGGATTTGAACTTGAGCTACTGCTTCTTTGTATTGCAGACCATTTATAAGACTTCTTATTAGTTTGGTTTCATATGTTTTCTTGCTTGTCAAATCGATACATGCAAGGTTGGGCTTGAGATCACATAACCATTCTCTATCGGCATTTTACTTTGTTCAATTAGCTATACCAGGACATTTGATTGCATTGCTGCACTGAAACATATTGGATACTCACCAATTGTCTCCTTGGAAGTACATTTCTTTTTGGTTTTTTGATGTCTTTCTTTATTCATATATAAATATTTACCAACTGTTTAATTTATCTTTTGGGTTATACGTCTATTGTGTTTGCTCCTTTTGTTATCCTTTTTATCGAATTTTCAATGCCTTGGTTTCTTGGAAAGTATGAAGTCAACTTCTATTATCCTTGGGACCTATATCACAAGACTTTTAATTTGATTAATTTTGATGTCATGTGGACTATAGAAAGCAGAATTATATTTTGTAGAGTACCTAAGGAAAAAGAAAGGTGGTAGGGAATAATCAATTAATTGATAATGGTAGAAATGTCCAAGATGGAAGAATTGTCTTCTACATCCAACTTTTTGTTTATAAAAAAAATTTGTATTAAGAATCATCATGGTGGAAAAAGATGAAAATTAGTCGGTGATGGTAGGATTACTGGTTAGAAATTCTATATAGAGTTTTTGCCCATCATAATATATGTATATATATAATTGGATGTACAATAATTATTTCTTGACAATTTAAACGTACATTGGGTGGTTAGATAGTACTGTGTAATGGATTGATTGAAATTTTGAAATTTACTTTTGGTGAGAAATAATAAAGAGGAAAGTGGAGTGGAGGGCAAGATTTGGTGAGGTTACTTCTCTTGTTTTCGTTAGAAGGAATGTGCTTAGGGAAATTTGTTTTTCCATCTGAAATGGGATAAAAATGGGAGAGAAAATAGCTGTATACATTGGGGATTTTTGGATATTTCAGTCACTTGGGATTTTTTTTTTCTTTTTATTGTAAGTCCGTCATCTAACTTAAAAAATGGATGAAAGGACTAATCATGTTCTCTTTCCCATTACCATTCTCTGTTTTCAACTTTTAGCCAAAATACTTTTGGATCTATACTTAGATTAATAGATTCCACTGCATAGCACATAGTATTATGGAGACAACTTATCATTACGGAGTATGTTGTCATGATGTGTTTGAATAGGATGTGGAAATTTTAAGGTTTGACATCTTATGTTTGTGATTATTGTTGGATATGCAGGAAGGTGTCTCTTCAACCATTGAATCATTCTCTCACTTAGCCAAGGACTCACCTTTAGCGCATTATAGTGACTTAAATGAACAATCAAAAGTAGAAAAAGTTGCCAGGCGGTGGGAAAGGTTAGAGCTTATAGCATTGTAAATTTCTTTAAATAGACACTAAAGTGAACCTTTTGAAATTGTATGGCTGAAGAATGAAGATTACATTCTTATTAGTGTTCAAACAAAAAATTATTTGGCTAGGTTGTGCTTGGTACAAGCCCTAATAATTTGCATCAACACTCAAGTTGCTGTCTGATACCTTATATCTAGTTAAGTCATGTATCACTGTCTGAAGGATATATGTTAATTGGTTCTCTATATTTATTTTTGTATTGATGAATGAGGCATTTTTGTGTGTTATTGCAACTGAAAGCTCATATGCAATCAATTGCTCAAATTTGAAGTAAAATACAACTGATATTAACTAAAAGAGCATGCTTTGTAGAGCATGTTTTTAAGTTAGATTTTATCAGTTCATCATTTTCATTATAGTGCATTTCAATGGGCTTTGTATATCGAGTTCATTATATGATTATTGCTGTAAATTGACCTTGAACTCTGTTGTTGTAGTTGCAAACATTTTATTGGTTTTATCTTTCTGGAAGAACTTTTACCTCATCTACAGCCAACCTTCTATTGTTGGTCTCAATTGCTCTTTTTGGATATGGGTTTTTACCATCAAACATGTAAGTACAGAAGTTTGTGGCGTAAAATCTTTTTCTTTTCCTTGGTTTTATTAGTCTTCCAATAGTCAGCCATTTTTTCACTCTTGTTGAAAGCTCGTTATTTACTTTCTAAAATTCTTTGAAGCAATGCATCTGGGATGCTCTACTTCTTCTTTTCTTGATTTATTCAGGAATTTCTTAGTTTATGGTCCGGAATCTAGAGTGTTGTAGCATTAAAATTTATGTTTATATGATTTTTATTAGAGATGCAAGATTTTGCCATCACTATCCTCTTGCTTTTATCAGTTTATGTTGTTATATCATCAAGTTGATTGTTTAGAAGATTTTTTAGGTCTACTGACCATTTGATATGCTTTCTCTATAGATTTGGTCTCAAAGTTCCAAGCATACCTTTGTCTAGTTTTGATATGATTCTCCGAGGTCATAATAAATACAGTTACTAGTTAATTATATGTTATTTTCTCCCATGTTATTCTTACAATTGTTGTAATAAATATCTTTTATTTGATGGGTGTTGATCCAACATCAACATTATGTTGTTGTGCTTTATCTCCTTTGCTCTATGCTCGATATTTACTTTGTCAAATTTTGGGTTTACACTGTTTTGAAATCAATTCTGGTTGTACTTGTACTTTATCTTCTCAAGTTGATTCTTTTGTGTTCATCCTTAACTGTCGTGATAGCCGTAGGTAAGGAATTTTTAGTTTAGCTATTCCACCATGATTTGATATCTCAATATATTTTCATCAAATTGACCTTCTCTGGAAATTTTATGCAGCTCTGGTCTTCTCCTTGACTGCACTCCTGGTTTATGAGCAATGCGAATGTGAACTGGATGGACTAGAGAAATCGAAAACATTGTTGATACACTATCTACTAGCTCTCGTCGCATCATTTCTTAGTAACTACAGGATATTGCATGAACCCAATGCCCATACAATGGTTAAAGATTGGCAATGACTCCATGACTCATTTTTTTCTCGAGTGAGTTTTAAACTACTTGTACATGATCTAGTAGCTTAATGAGGCTTTGTCTCAAAACTGTAGAGATTTGTCCCCTGAAAAAGAATATCGATGGGGTATATATTCATATAGTGCAAATTCTAGTTGTCAATGTTCAATCTTTTAATTGACCATTAGATATCCAATGTCTTTAATTGTCTCGATTACTCGAAAGTCGAAACATTGAATCTCATTTCATCTGCTTAGCCAAAAGTCAGAAGCAGAAGAAAGATTGAAGGTATTTTTTCATTGACCATTAGATATATTTGTACTGAATTTGTTATTGTAAGTTATTTAGAAGACGATCAAGGATATGTGAACTCCAAGTATTCCAACATCTACAGGTGTTTATTGTCACCAAGACTCATCAGAAGTCATTTCACTTCAACCAAATAACAAAGGTTCATAATGTATCCAACTCAATTCAAATCAAATTTGATCCAACGTTTTTTATAAAAAAAAAAAAAATAATAACAATGTTTTTCGTGGTTTGCTTTGATTTAGCTTTGAATGAGAAAGAATTTGCTTATATTATTCGATTATATGTTCTCGATGTGAAATAAAAATTCAATGACTTAAAAGGAGATAATATGGGAAATGGCATAATACTAAATATATGTTTCCAATTTTTTCCTTAAAAAAATCATCAGAATTGTTACATTGTTCGAAGTCGCAACTCGCAAGGCATGCTACCGGGTCAAGCTAGGTTTCTCAAAGTGTCCTGTAAGTCAGAATTTTAGAAAGTCCTTGATGCAATAATGCGAAGTTCAAAGACCTATGCAACTTTTTCAACACACATAAATTTTTATATTAGATTATGTATCATCTTATATGATACACCAATGTCACTTACAAAGAAAAAGTCAAGAAAGTGATTAATATGGTAATAATGTAAACTTACATTCAGTTGTTGAATTTCATTGATTTCACACATGCAAGAGATGACTTTGACTTTCATGTATCCTAAGGGAGTTACTATTTTGCTGAACGCATATCTTGTAGGATTTGATCACACTTTTCACAAAACAACATATCTTTGGTGGCTGGGTGAAGGAATTTCTAGAGCTTGGAACTGATCCTTCATTATTTGCAAATGGCAGATATTATTTTATGCCCCTTATTGGAAGTAGTTTTTCACAAAGTTGCTTCTCAGCTTTTGAAAGAAATAGCTCTTAAATGCGGGTTGAGGATGAGATAGACAAGCTTCGGCATTCAATAAGCATCATTCAAGTAGTTCTTCAAGATGCAGAAGAGCGACAAGTGAAGGAGAAAGCAATGAAAATATGGTTGGGTGAGCTTAAAGAAGTTGCTCATGATGCTGACAATTTACTAGATGAGTTCTGCTTGGAAGCTCTAATGGCTAAGAGCCGAGGATTCTTCATGACGAGGTTATTTACTGACTTCTTTCCTTCTTTGAAACCAATTGCAGTTTATCTTGAATTTTTGGCAGCTGAAAGGCTTAACTTTAACTTGAAAGTGTTGAGTTTGTTGAGAAATAAGTTGACGAAAGAAGAAGCAAGTTGATGAAGAAGAAGCTGAGCTGTGAGAATCAGTTATGCTGAGTGCTGAGCTGGATATTTTAGTTAAGAGTTTGTTATTTTTCTAGTTAGAGTTAGTTAGACAGTTATTCTACAAGTTGTATATATATGTATATGGATGTAAACGTTGATTAAGTAAAAATAATAATTTGTTTTCTTTTCTTTCATTTACTTTCAGTACTTCCAAATATATTCTTAACATGGTATTAGAGCTTTGATCTAAGGCCTGAAATACTTGTTCAAACATCAAATTTTTCATCAAGATTTGGTACTGATCTGCCATTAAAATTCAGTTCGATCTTTGTCAAAACTTTCAATCCTTTTAGTTTCTTCTTCTTCACTCAACTATTAAGCCAGTTTGACGTCAATGGCAACTGAAGGAAATGAAAGCATCTCAACTGGAACCAGTTCTCAGAATAATCAAAATTCATCATCAGTGGACTTCAATCATCCCTTGTACTTGCATCCCTCGGATACTCCAGGTTCTATCTTAGTTTCTTTTCAACTCATTGGAATAGAAAATTACTTACTATGGAGTCGATCAATGAAAATTGCGTTACTTACTAAGAACAAAATAGGCTTTATTGATGGAACTTGTAAAAGAGACACAATTTCGATTAACTTGCAACAGCAGTGGGACAGATGCAATGCCATTGTGCTCTCTTGGATTATGAACTCTGTTAGTAAAGAGTTGCTGAGTGGTATAGTCTATGCTTTTAATTCACATATGGTATGGCAAGATTTAAAAGAAAGATTTGACAAAATCAATGGTTCAAGGATTTTTCAATTACACCGAGACATTGTTACTTTAGCGTAAGGAACTTCAACTATATCCACTTATTATACTAAACTCAAACTCTTATGGGATGAATATGGATCTATTATATAGCTACCTACATGTGAATGTGAAATGTCAAAAACCTATGTGGAACATATGCAGAATAAAAAAATTTTGCAGTTTCTCATGGGATTGAATGAGACATATGTGCAAGCAAGATGACAGATCTTGATGATGAATCCATTGCCTAGTATCAACCAAGCTTATTCCATGATTGTGACAGAAGAGAGTCAAATGAGCATAATAGGATCTGTCGCATCAGAATCTTCCCTGGAATCCACTGTCATGTACTCATCCTCATCATCACAGCAATAGTCCAAGGGAAAGAAAAACTGGAATATCATTTGTGAACACTGCAATGTGAAATGTCATAAGAAAGAAAGTTGTTACAGGCTCATTGGCTATCCTCCTGACTTCAAGTTCACCAAAACAAAATTCACAGGAAATCAATCTTCAGTCAATAATGTTTCAGCACCATCTACTAATCATGCAGGGCCCAACATTTCAGGATCCACTGCTCCAGTATTCTCCAAGGAACAATATGAAGAGATCCTCAAACTCTTGAACAAAGATTCAAATACTTCTACAGCAGATGGAATAGTGAATATGGCAGGTATAAAATGTTTTTTATCTTCACTAGGTGAAAAACAATCCTGGATTCTAGATACAGGGGCTAGTCATCATATGTCCCCTTGTATTGACCTATTATCAGAATTAACATCCTCACCTGTTTCTACATCAGTTCGATTGCCTAATGGTCATGTGTCTAAAGTTTCTCATATTGGATCACATTATCTTGCTGCTGACCAGAAACTTACCAATGTTCTCTATATTCCTGATTTCAAATTCAACTTGATTTCAGTTGCAAAGATGACAAGAGATTTGTCTTGTTTCATCTCTTTTTTTCCTGATTTTTGTATACTTCAGGACCTCTTCAGTGGGAAGGTAAAGGGGATTGGTAGAGAAGCTGAAGGTTTATATTTCTTACTACCTCTCAAACATCATGCATCACCAACTATGCTTCCACATTCATTGGCTGTTCCTAAGGTTCCTCAAGTTTACACAGTACATGAAGAGCCTTTTACTTTGCCTAATACTTGTTGTTTATCTTCTGTTGAAATGTGGCATAAAAGACTTGGCCATGTGCCTATTCCCAAGTTGAAATATTTTCCTTCTATAAAGCTTACTCAGAATGATATACAATGTGTGGCTGATTGCAGAATATGCCCCTTAGCTAAACAAGTCAGATTACCATTTACTTCAAGTCATACTAGAGCATCTCATCCTTTTGATTTATTGCATATGGATGTTTGGGGACCTTATGCTCATTCCATAATTAATCATCATAAGTTCTTTCTCACTATTGTAGATGATCATACAAGAATCACTTGGGTTTTCTTAATGAGACATAAGTCAGAAACCATACTTCATCTTCGAAAATTTTTTTTACTGGTCCAGAATCGTTTTTCTGCTTCTATCAAAGTCATTAGATCAAATAATGGGGGAGAGTTTTTTAACACTGATTGCATTGAGCTGTTTACATCCTTGGGCATTCTTCATCAGAGTTCTTCCGTTTACACCCCCCAATAGAATGGGGTGGCCGAACGCAAATACAGGCACCTGCTGGATGTAGCAAGATCCTTGAAAATTCAAGCTAGAATTCCCCTTCAATACTGGGGAGACTGCATTCTTACTGCCTGTTATTTGGTGAACAGGTTATCCTCTCCTGTTTTAGGCAACAAGTCCCCTTATGAAATGTTGCATGGCACATTACCATCAATTGCTCATCTTCGGGTATTTGGTTGCCTTAGTTATGCAACTCATTTCACCTCCACAGATAAGTTTGCTAAGAGAGCCATTCCAATAGTTTTCATGGGATATTCAGCAACTCAAAAAGGTTATAGATTGCTGAATTTGGAAACTAACAGGTTCTTTGTTAGTAGAGATGTCAAGTTTGTTGGGCATATTTTCCCTTTTCTTTCTCAATCTTCTTCAGCAGCTTTGCCTCCTTATCATTCTCCTTCACCTGCATATCCTGATGATCATGAGTTCTATTACAACCTTTTACCGATTGATGTACCACAGCAGCCTTCTCCACCTAAAAATTCACTTGTACCAACTACTTCATCTGAGTCCTCTAAACCTGTCCCTTCCTCTGCTATTTCCTCACCTACTATATCTCCTCCAGTCCTTAGAAGATCCTCTAGGACTGTTAAACCCCCAATTTGGCTTACTGATTATGTCTCCCCTGCTGCTCATTATGCGATCACCAACTATGTTTCTTACAAACATCTTACACACTCATATAAGTGTTTTCTTAGTGCTATCTCTCACATACATGAGCCTACTACATATGAAGAAGCTGTTCTGGACTCCAATTGGGTGGCTGCCATGCAGGCAGAATTAGCTGCTTTGGAGGCTAACAAAACATGGACTTTAGTTCCTCTTCCACCAGGCAAATCTGCCATAGGATACAAGTGGGTATTTAAGGTCAAGTATCACTCCGATGGCAACCTTGAGAGGTACAAGGCACGCCTTGTAGCCAAAGGATACAGCCAACATGAAGGCATTGACTATACTGACACATTCAGTCCAGTTGCTAAAATGGTAACCGTGAGGAGTGTCTTGGCTTTAGCATCCATTAAGGGTTGGCCACTTATGCAAATGGACGTATACAATGCATTTTTACAGGGGGACCTTTTTGAGGAAGTTTACATGGAATTGCCAAAAAGGTTTTCGCAATCAGGGGGAGCCATTGGTTTGTAGATTGCTCAAATCCTTGTATGGATTAAAACAAGCCAGCAGACAATGGAATATCAAGCTGACAGAAGCATTGATCAAACATGGATATCAGCAGAGCAAATATGACTACTCTCTATTTACTAAAAGAAATGGCAATAAGATAGTGATTTTACTGGTTTATGTAGATGACCTTTTAATCACTGGAAATAATCAAGAGATGCTACAAGACTTGAAATCTGTTCTACAAAGGAGCTTCAAGATAAAAGATCTTGGTGAGCTGAAGTACTTCCTTGGCATTGAGATTGCTAGATCAAAGGAAGGATTGGTTATGAGCCAGAGAAAATATGCGTTGGAACTCATATCAGAAGCTGGACTAGCCGATGCAAAGCCTGCCAAGACTCCACTTGAACAGAATTCAAAACTTACTTCATACGAATATGATCAACAGTTTGAACCTGCATCAAAGGATAAGCTGCTAGAAGATTCATCCATTTATAAGAGGTTGATTGGTAGGCTGCTTTATTTGACTATGACAAGGCCTGACAGAGCCTTTTCTGTTCAAACACTTAGTCAATACATGCATGCACCTAAAGAGTCCCACTTAGAAGCAGCATTAAGAGTTGTTAGGTATATTAAACAAAGTCCTGGTATGGGGTTGTTAATGCCCTCAAGTAATGAAATGAAGCTTGTTGCATATTGTGATTCAGATTGGGGAGCTTGTTAGATGAGTAGAAAATCAGTGAGTGGATATTGTGTTAAGCTTGGAGAGTCTCTTATATCGTGGAAGTAAAAAAAACAGAGTACTATAGCTAGATCATCTGCTGAAGCAGAATACAGAAGCATGGCAGCATGTGTATCTGAGATAGTCTGGTTACTTGTTTGTTTAATGAATTAGGAATAGAAGAAATAAAACCTGTGTTGTTACATTGTGATAACAAAGCTGCATTACAAATAGCAGCCAATCCAATGTATCATGAGAGAATAAAACACATTGAGATTGACTGCCATTTTACAAGGGAAAAAATCCAACAAGGAGTCATACGCACAGAGTATATTGCAACTGGAAATCAGATTGCAGATATTTTAACTAAAGGTTTAGGTGTACAACAGCATGAGAAATTAATAGCCAAACTGGGTATTAAGGATATCTACAAAGTGTCAACTTGAGGGGGAGTGTTGAGTTTGTTGAGAAACAAGTTGACGAAAGAAGAAGCAAGTTGATGAAGAAGAAGCAAGTTGATGAAGAAGAAGCTGAGCTGTGAGAATCAGTTATGTTGACTACTGAGTTGGATGTTTTAGTTAAGAGTTTGTTATTTTTCTAGTTAGAGTTAGTTAGTGTTATTCTACAAGTTGTATATATATGTATATGGATGTAAACGTTGATTAAGTAAAAATAATAATTTGTTTTCTTCTCTTTCATTTACTTTCAGTACTTCCAAATATATTCTTAACAGAAAGAAGGGGTTGTTGAAAGAAGGTGTGATGTTAAAGAGAAAAGACAATCTGGGTCTTTTCTAATGGAATCAAACGTTGTTGGAAGAGGTCAAGATAAAGAAGTTATAATAGGGCAAGTATTATCAAATGGAGGAAGTTGGATTAAGAGGTCTGGGAAAAACCAGAATAGCTCAACTTGCTTATAATGATGAGAGGGTGATAGAAATTTTGAACACTATGGATAAACTGGCGTGGAATATTATAATAGTATTATAAAGATTATAAAGAGTGAAAGATATCAAATAGACTGCTTTGAGGTTTAGTATAATTATATAAATTCTCTTATGATTTTTGGAATAATAAAATTTCTTTGGTTATTAATAAACTATTAGTCTTTTGCTAGAATATATGTCTATAAATTAATAAGTATTATTAAATTGTTTTCGTTATATTATTTTAACATTTATGATTTAACAATAAAGTTTTTTTTACTTTATAAATTAGATTATTTTTATTATATCAAACCACAAGATCGTTAATATGATTCTTTTATATAATATAAAATCAGTAATTGTAATGAACTATACATAATATTATTTTAATAATAAAAATATTTCAACAAAACTAGATGGCCTAGCAAAAGCTCCTTAATTGTAGAAAGAAATCAAAAACATTGTTGATATGCTATCTACCAGCTCCCGTCGCATCATTTCTTCGTAACTACAGGATATTGCTTGAACCCAACACCCATACAGTGGTAAACGATTGGCAATGATTTCATGACTCGATGTTTTTCTCGACTGGGTTTTAAACTGCTTGTACATGATCTAGTAGCTTAACTAGGCTTTGTCTCAAAATTGTTTAATCCTTTAATTGACCATTAGATATCCAATGTCTTTAATAGTCTCGATTACTCAAAATGTTGAATCTCATCTCATCTACTTAGCCAAAAGTTTGAAGCAGAAAAAAGATTCAAGGTATCTTTTCATTGACCATTAGATATATTTGTACTGAATTTAACATTGTAAATTATTGAGAAGATGATCAAGGATATGTGAACTCCAAATATTCCAATATCATATTCGAATCAAATTTGATCCAACGTTTTTGGTAAAAAAATAACGATGCTTTTGGTAGTTTGCTTCGACGTAGCCATAGGCAATTCCATGGGCTCTAGCAAGGCCATGTTACGTGCACTGTTGACCATATGGGTAATTCCATGGGTTCTAACAAGGCCAAAACCTTAAGAATGAGATTAAACTAAAAGTAAATGAAGAATCTTTGTATAGATATCAAACATAATTCTGAAAACTTGCTTGCATTCTAAAGGTACTGGATGATAAAATGTTTAATGATCTTTTACAGTCACTCCTTTATCACACTGTCAAGAGAATGTTTATATAATTGATTGGTTCCCGTAACTTATTACTGTCATCCAATTTGTTTATAGTAATGAGCTGCATTATATAAGAAAACATTTAAAATGCTTATGCGAATTATAATTGTTCTACCATTAGTTATCCAATTCTTGCAAATGGATATCATTGTTTCGAAATTTGTAAGCAATCAATGTCATAACAGGGACTACAATGTTATTGGAAACACATTCATAACATAAATTATTTACCGATAAAATAATGTGGAGCATTATGATAGTATTATAAAGAGTTAAAGACATTAAGTCAACTGTTTTGAGGTTTACTATAATTATATAAATTCTCTTTAGATTTTTGAAATAATAAAATTCTCTTTATTATTGATAAACTATTAGTCTATCGCTTAAGCATATATTTAAAAATTAACCTTTATAATTCTTGTTATATTATTTTAACCTTTATAATTTAACAGTAAAGATTTTTATTATTTTATAAATTAGATTATTTTTATTATATCAAACTTGAAGACCGTCAATATAACTCTTTTATATAATATAAAATTAGTAATCATAATAAATTATATATAATATTATTTTAATAATACAAATATTTCAACAAACATAATTAGCTTGATAATCTTGTTAATATGATATGAAAAAATTATTCATATAACTTTTAAAAAGTAAAACCAATATCTTTAATTTTTAATATATCACATTCGTTTATATAAAATATAAATTTTGACATATTTAAAATTTTGAAGAACAAATAGAAAAAAAAAAAAAAAACATTTTTAATATCATTTTAAATTAAATTCAAATTTCAATAGCAAGATTTACTTTAGTTGGTTTGGTCAACTGGATAATTTTGGAATTTAAAAAGTAAAACCCCCTAAAACCGAAAAGCAACCATCCAACCCTGAACCTGGAAAACGCTCTTCATACATGGCTTTGAGATCCCCATTTCGCTTGTCTTCAATCTCTCAAAACCCATCTCTGAAAGGTAATATTTCATCTTTGTTAGCTCAGTTACACAACCTCACAACTTCAAGCTCCAACAATGAAGTTTTGTATTCTTTTTAAAAACCCCTAGAACGATCCTCACTTGCTAAATTCCTCAAAGAAAACTGTCGATCAGGTAACTTTACTCTGAATGAAGCATTGTACTTGTTTCATTACGTGATTAATTCGCAACCGATCTCTCCAATTTCTTCATTTACTACTTTGTTTAGTGCACTGGCAAAGAAGAAGCATTATTATGAAGTGATTTCTCTTTATAAGTGGTTAAATTCAACTGGGTTGTCTCTAGATTTATTGTCTTTGACCATTTTGATCGATTGCTTGTGTAAGATTGATAGGGTTTTTGATGGTTTTGCTGTTCTGGGGGAGATTTTTAAGAAGGGTTTCGGCCCAGATGCTGTGACTTTTAATTGTTTGATCAAAGGTCTGTGTGTAGAGAGAAAGATTGTGGAGTCGATGGAATTGTTTAAGAAAATGGTTGCTGTTGGTTGTGGGCCTAATATGATGAGTTACAACACTTTGATTGATAGATTGTGTAAAACGGGGAAGATAAGTGTTGCCATTAAGTTGCTTGAAGAGATGGTAGATGGGAATAAAAAATCTGGTGTTATTTGTAGGCCAAATGTTGTTACTTATAATACTATAATTGATGGTCTTTGTAAGGCTGGATTAGTTGAGAAGGCAAGAGAATTGTTTTTGCAAATTTTGCAAATGAAGGGTTCTGGAATTAGTCCAAACACAGTCACTTATAACACTCTAATTCATGGTTTTTGTTGTGTGGGTGATTGGAAGAAGGGTAGAAGTTTATTTATTGAAATGATAGATCAAGGTGTGCAGCCTTCTGTGGTGACGTTTAATGTGCTCATAGATGAACGTTGCAAGAAAGGGAGATTACACGAAGCAAATAGGTTGTTGGAGCTTATGATTTAGACAGGTGTGGTTCCTAATGTTTATACTTACAACATTCTAATGAATGGATTGTGTAAAGCAGGGAAGATAAGTCCTGCCATTACGTTGCTTGAAGAATTGGCTAAGGGAAATGAAGAATCTGGTGTTATTTGTAGCCCAAATGTTGTTACTTATAATTCTATAATTGATGGTCTTTGGAAGGTTGGATTAGTTAAGAAGGCGATAGACTTGTATTTCGAAATGAAAAGTTCAGGAACTTCTCCAAACGTGGTCTCTTATAGCATTTTGATCAATATGCTTTGTAAAAATGGACAACTAGAAAAGGCAAATGAGTTGTTGTCACATATGGAGGAAAAAGGTTGTGCTCCAAATGTAATCACGTTTAATACCCTAATGTTCGGTTTCCTCAAGAATAATAAGATACCAAAAGTTGTTCAACTCCTTCATAAGATGGCGGAGAGAAATGTGAAGTCGACTGAATGTACAATGTCCTTAGTCATGCAATTACTAATGGAGGCCGAAAATTATCGTGAATGTTTGAACCAACTTCCTCAATTTCCGGTCCAAAAGAGAAATTGAAGTTTTCAATATAAAAATTTATGGAGTGGTTCACTTTTTCAGAGCAGCATCCTTGTCAGGAGAGCATTATTTGACATCATTGAAATTTGAAACTGCAAAAGCCTCAGCCAGCTGCAGAAAGACTCTATGATTGTCACCGTACGAAGAATGCAGTTGACATGAGAACATTGCTGTCAAAAGAAATATGTTTTGCCGTGATACATGCAGTTATTTTAACGATGATCCATGAAGATTTGGTTGATATGGGATTTCAAACTGTCAGTGGAATCTATGAAGCAGCATGGTCTAAAAGTGGACTTGGGTAAGATCCTCTTTATCTTATATAACGGTGTTACCTTTTTAAACCTTGAAGGACAAGGTATAATGCTAGCCATTTGCCATTAATAGGCTTTTAACTATGCTATGAGTCTGTTTTCTAGATCTAAATCAGTTTGAAATGTTTATAGATTTCATTGCGTCATTGGTTTTGTCAGGTATTAAAATTTATTGCAGACATAAATTGGTGGATGTGCTGATTAACCATTTACTTGTAGATTTTTGGTGGTGAGAATTGTTGGACAAAACTCTGGTAGTAATAATGTCTAATAGATAGTATTTTTACTCTCCAGGTTACTCCCTTTAGGATTTATTCTTCCGATACCAATAGGAAACTATCCATTCTGCATAATTACATTGATAATTATCTGCGCCAGAATTATTTGTTCCTGATTCACTGACATATTGCTGTATTCTTCGTAGTCACTCTGATCAAACTCCAGAAGCTTGGACTTCCAGTGATGGTTTAAGAGTACTATGGTACATGTGTCTGACGGCCATATGGGCAATGCAATGGGCTCTAAGAAGGTTGAAACCTTCAAAAAATGAGATGAAACCAGAAGTGAATGAAGAATCTCTGTATAGATATCATGTTGGGTTCTGTAAAGTTGCTTGCCTTCTAAAGGTACCAGATGATAAAGCGCATAAAGGTCTTTAATGGTCATTGTTTGAGTACACTTGCTAGAAAAAAGTTTCTGTAATTGTTTGGTTCTTGTAATTTATTACTGTCATCAAATTTTGTGTACAGTAAGAGATTCATTAGAGAGAAAATAGAAATATTGGTGTATACTGCAGTGGGTGTAAGAAAACTATATTTGAGATGTTATGTAAATCATATTATTCTACTGGTGAAACTTTTTAGTTTTCCAATTCTTGTGACATATTGAATGTGGCACTATTACAAAATTTTGAAAAACAAATAGATTAAAAATCTTTTTAAAATCATTACAAATTGATTCCAAAATTCATTTCTTTAGATCTGTAAAATTTATCAAAAAAGATTATGCATTTGATCACTCATGTGAATGGGTTGGCTTGTATTGCTTTTTGGTTAACTATTTCTTTCATTCTAGCTTAGGGAAGAAACAACTCAAACTTGATGGCCTAAACGTCATGTGTTGACACATTCCGACGGGTAGATGGATTAAAATCCACCTAAGCATTTGATATTGACGATTTTTTTTTTTAATATTGACATGTTACAGATGATGTGATTATCCAATAATATCATAGATGATTTTTTATTTTTTATTTTTTTTATTTTTTTAATAACAAATAGCAGGCAAGAAGAAGCTCAAAACTAAAATCCCTCTTCCATGACATCATTTTCCTCAGGATTAGTTGTTGTTGTGTAGAAAAGTTGTTTCGCATCTATAGTCTCGAAAAACATCAAGCTTGCTTACCTGAGGAAGAGTTTAGTGGAGTTACTAAAGCAAGCAGAGAAATTTGATGCTAAAGTAATTGGAAGTTTTGTGAGAGTGAAATTTGACCAAAGTGACCATTTGGAGAAAAATGCTTATAGGTGATTTTCTCAACATAAATGTGAATTGTCTTTTAAGCAGTCATTGATTGATATTTTTCTACACAATTTACATTTTCATTTGCGTAAATGAAATATTAAAGTTAATTCCATCTTTATATTGTTTTGACAAACTGTATGATTACAGGCACCAAGAGAACCTTAAGCATAATGCATAAATCCTCGTTCGTGTTTCGAATACTCAAAGAGAGATATCAATCAGCAAGTTGTCGGATGATGACTTCACTAAGGTAACAATATTGTTAGAACGCATATAGCTTTCCTTTCAAAAAATGGAGATATTGAAGTGAAACTATTGGTACTTTTAAGGCAAGCTAGAAAACTAGTTTTGTATAAGAGTGACAAAATGTTGATTTTTCAACTTTTTTTGCCAAAATGGTTTCCAGTGATGATCTATTTGCAAAGCAAATAGTTACTCTAGTAGTATTTTCTGCAGGAAGAATGTGAAGATTTGTTTCAGAGAATGAAAGATGTCTTGCTAAAAAGGTCAACTGTTGTAAGTGTTGACAGTATTACAGACTTTCTACATATATAGAAGTGCTATTTGGTTAAGTAAAATAATTTTAAAAATATCATAGACAACCTTAATTAGAATACGATGAATGCAGGTGGATCTTGACTAGAAGGCTAGCTTTCTACATGAGGATATAACAAAACATGTATGTATTTTTACATATAAAATCCAAAATTAGGATTCACTAATTTTAGAGTATATAATTTCGGGGCTATGCTGAATGAATCAGAACCATTGAACATGTATTATTTCTTAAGCCTTGTATTGTGTTTTTTGTTATGGCCTATTTGAATCTGTTATATTTCATATTTCTTTGCTTGCTCTTGACTTCTTTGCTCTCCTTTTAATTTCATGGATGCCAAATAGTGGATTGCTAGAGGGCTGGTTTCGTTACAAAATTGCATTAATCAAGCAAATGAAAGGAATTTCGTGGAAGAATATCCTTTTGATGATGTAGTTTTTCATACAAAATTAGACTATTAGTGAATTGAAAACAATTGTTTGTGTAAGCAGAAAGTAATCATTGGAATGTTTGAAAGAATGTACTAGTAAAAGGGAACTGAAAATTTCAATCTAAAGTATGTTCAATTGTGTTTCGAAATGTAATTGATCCTTAGCCCTATACTATTGTCAAGAACAAGAACAGCTTGTTGCTGCTTGAGATTCCATCAGAACAACTGTGCTTATTGAATAGATTCTGGAAGTAATTGCAGACACTCAAGATCTTGAACCTGCCCACGAGGACAGTAAAATAGAAGAAGAGCATGATGTTGGCTCAATTGAACCAGCCCTCTGAACAACTGAAAATCCTGGCTCTAATCTTGAAGGCAATGGAATTGCTTGCTGTTGAAATGATATAATAGATGTTGCAGGTAAATTTTCTAGGCTCTTTCCTGTGTGTATTAGTTTGTATATTAGATTATCCAAACTGCTTCTTTCCTGAAAACAACTCCACCATCAGAACCATTGACTAGTATCTTTGAGTCTGATCAAGAAGTCTCAACTGTCGATGAGGAAACTGCAGGCAATTTATTTCCTTAATTGCTTTATGTTTACTTCAATTTGTATCTCAACTAACATATCATTTTCCTTAACCTGCAATGGCATTTGCACCAGGACTAGCTCCCATTTCCTCTACATTCCAAGACCAAGATTCTGCTGCCTCAGTACAATAAATGAATGAAAATTATTTAGGCTCAGTTTCTTTTAACTTCATTTATTGCAGGTGTAGATTCCTCCCCTCCTAGATAATTCTGCTGAACCTTGCTAGCTCTGTACCTTCAACCCATCTAGAGAGAGTGAGGTAATTCATTTCCTCCCATATCTTGATCAAGAAATATGCTTTCACTTCTATATGCATTCATTCTCAACTACAGGTGATGCAAGGGTCTTCTTTGCAAACCATGAGAATATGCTTGATGATTCTCTTGAGGCTCTACCAGGGTGTTCACAGCGGCCAACAGTAAGTAGTCATGAGATCAGTGTCGCAAAAGAGTTTATTCGTCGCTGCTGCCTCATGGGATTGGAGCATCTCTCTTTCAAGATCAAAGGGATAAGTTTCTTGCATTTGTTGATGAGCATTGACAACTTCAACTTCAACAGAAAATGAATGTATTGCTTCTTTAGATGAACAAGCCAAGAGTCTTGCGGAATCATCGAGAACATCCAAAAATGCTCTGAGTCAATACAATCATAGATCTGATGCCTTGGAGATGGATAAGCAAGATTGTGATCACATCATGGATGGCATTGATGCCTCTTGGGATAACTTCAAAATAGAGATAGCAAAGCTAATTGAGACTAATACCGTACTTTTCAAGTTGTATCCTGAAAAGCAAATTGACAAGAGTTCAACTTCAGATCTATGCAGTACTACATGATGCATTACTTTGGCATTAGAATCTTGAGATTCTACTCTTAAGAATTTCATGCTTTCTTTTACAATAGAAACCTTTTTTTATTAATTAGTATATTTGTGCATGAACAAGAGTTCTAGGGGGTTTTGTTACATTTTAAATCTGTAGGGTTTCATGTAATTTTCTAGGGGTATTTTTAGTATTTCAAACTTTTAGGGATTAATTGTAATTTATTTGGGTATTTTTTGGAATACATTAAATTTTTAGGGACTAATTAAATTTTGTAGAGATGTTTTTATAATATACTACAATTTAAAAGACTAATTAATAATTTTTAAAAAATATTTTTGTTGCTGACGTACCGATCGATCAAACCGTGAATAGGCCTTTGATAGAGTCAAGGCTTGGTCCGGTTTTACTCGCTTCATTCTCTTAGACCTCATCTCTGAAAAGTAATGTTTCATCTTTATTTACTTGCTTGTAGAAATCTCACGACTTCAAGCACCCAAAATGAACTTCTATATTCTTCCCAAAAAACCCCTTAGCATAACCCACTTGCTAAATTCCTCAAAGAAAATGGTCGATCAGGTAGCTTCACTCTAAATGAAGTTTTTTACTTTTTTGATTACACAATTCATTCCCAACCCATTTCTCCAATGGCATCATTCAACATATTTTTTGGTGCACTTGCAAAGAAGAAGCATTATTATGAAGTGATTTCGCTTTATAAGAGGTTGAATTCAACTGAGCTATCTCCAGATTTAATGTCTTTTAACATGTTGATAAATTGCTTCTGTAATATCAAAGGGTTTTGGATGGTTTTGCCCTTTTTGGGGGGATTTTGAAGAAAGGTTTCAGCCCCGATGCTATGACTTTTAATTGTTTGACTAAAGGTCTGTGTGGAGAAAAAGATTATGGATTCATGGGAGTTGTTTATGAAAATGGCTACTGTTGGTTGTAGACCGAATGTTGTTACTTATAATACTATAATTAATGGTCTTTGTAAGGATGGATTAATTGCGAAGGCTAGACAATTACTTTTGGAAATGAAGGGTTCAGGAATTAGTCCAAACGCAGTCACTTATACCACTCTAATTCATGGTTTGTGTTGCGTGGGTGATTGGGAGAAGGGTAAAAGTTTATTTATTGTGATGATGAATCAAGGTGTGCAGCCTTTCGTGATGACATTTAATATGGTCATAAATGAACTTTGCCAGAGAGGAAAATTAGACGTAGCAAATAGGTTGTTGGAACTAATGATTCAAAGAGGTATGGATCCTTGCATTTATACTTACAACATTTTAATAAATGGTTATTGCTTGGCATGAAGGATTGGTGATGCAAGGGAGTTGTTTGCTTCTATAACTAGAAAAGGGTATACACCTCATGTTGTTTGCTTCAATACTTTAATCAATTGGTATTGCAAGAACAAAAAAGTCAACAAAACTCTTATCCTTTATCGAGAGATGATTTCAGAAGGAATTAAGCCTGATGTGATTACGTATAACACTTTGTTAACTGCCCTTTTTCTTAAAGCTGAGGTAAAACATGCACGAAAATTAGTTGATGAGATGCAATTTAATGGTGTTATACCTAATTCATTAACATATACCATTTTCATTGATGGACTTTGCAATAATGGTTATGTTTTGGAAGCAGTGGAAAGATTTCATAATTGAGTAAATAATAAGTTTACAGTTAGCCTTGAAAGTTTGAGTTCCCTCATTAATGGCTTGTGCAAAACAGGG